TATATATATATATATATATAATTCTACAAACTAATCAGCACTTAAGCTTTTACCCTGGATGTTAAATTAAACCAAAAGGCTCCTGCAACAACAACAAAACAAAACATTTAAAAATATATATGAAATCAAATTTCAGGTTTGCAAAGAATTGTGCAACACACAGTATGTTTACATTATTCAAATTCTTCTGAAAGTTTAAATAATTTCATTAGACCAAAACTTGGCTCTTGCATGGTCGAATTAAAAAAAAATTTGCTATGAAGTCTCTCATTGTGTTATACAGCACGTAAAAAAACTTTACGTAAACATGGAAGGATTTGTTGACAGTGTTTCAAAACTCAAAGTTTTCTTTCCTAATGTGTGCACACTGATCTGCTCTGCTTTACACCCCTGCATGCTCTTCCCCCTGGATGCCACATGTTGGTGATCTTGTCTTCATTTCCCCTCCCAGCCAGATGAAGACATTGCTCATTATTTGATAGGCTGATAAGATAAGACTTGTTCGTGCCTTTTTTATGTGTGGGGCTCTTTGAATGTTGTATGATTAGGATGTGAACAGTAGATGAAGTTTCATTTGCCTGTTTTAAAAACTTCTCTTGCTTTTCTTTGCTAACACCCATAGGGGGCGGCATTCCACACGGTGTGTTGTCGACGATGGGGCCGGGGGGTAACATGTGCCAACTAACCGAGCACAAACCACGCTGGACGGACACGCATGAAACTGTCTAGTTTTCCCCTGACACTGTCCCAAGCACAATAAATCATAGGCTGACATTGAAACTGGGGAGGGGGCTGGGGCTGCTGAGCCAGACATCTAGGAGGGTAAAAGCAAGGGGGCCCAGGGAGGCAGCATGATGGGCTCCAGACCTGCCAGAATACCCCTCTGAGTCTGGTTCAGTTTCATAACCACTCACTCACCAAATCTTAGCTGCACACTTTGATCAAATCACTGTTCAGATTCAGGATCGAACTGAGTCCGAGGGTCAAAAGGCACGTAAGTTTTCTGTAGATGCTTCTGCAATCAGAGGGTTCAAAGTCTGGGAGAGACAAGGCAGGTGAGCGCCAAAGCTTTATGTCACAAAAACAATTACAAGTTATTTGAGAGCAAATAAAAAATCATTACAAACAGATTGCTTCACTGGTGTTCTGCTTGAGGTAAGTCATGTTAAACACCCCTTTAAGTTTTTTGTTTAACTCAACACAGTCATTCTTCCTAGCCTCCTTGACTCAGTGGCCTGCTGTCTGTCACATCAGGACATGTTTCCACCCTGATTCCCCTGAGCGCCTTAACTCACAGAGGTGTTCTGTGACTGGAGCCGCTCGGTCTCCCCTCACTTGACCCAACCAGCACAAGAGCAGGACATTTGACCTTTCTGGGAGTGACATTCTTGACTATTTGACTATTTGTGCCACTTTTCCCTCTCAAAGTAGTCTCTGTAATTAATGTATGTTTCTTTCCACAAATTCAGTGTAACCTTCAAAATGAAATGTAAAATGGTGTTTAAGTAAAAATGATCCTGTAGGCCAATATTTGCTGTGAACACATTGTCTATTTAGCAACATGTCTAAAGCAACAATTAAACAATTTCATGGCTTAAATATTAAATTGCATTAGACCAGATGTGGTCAGTTTGTCATCATTTCACTTTCGCATGCGCTAAGTCTTCCAGCAGAGGCCCTTTGGTGTTAATTTAAATCTTCTGTCTCAGCCTCACCCGCTCCACCCTATGGCATCAGTGTTCTGGAGTGTGTGCGTGACTCCATGGTGCTGGCCTGGAAACAGCCAACCTTCATCGGAGGTGCTGACATCACCGGCTACTTTGTCGATTACCGTGAGGTCATCGATGGTGTGCCAGGGAAGTGGCACGAGGCCAACATCAAGGCCATCAGTGAGAGGGCCTACAGGGTGAGGGGATCTGAACAGCCCTTTTTTGTTCAAGTCTGACTGATGAGCAATGGTTTACATTCTTGCTGTGTTGTCTACAGGTGTCAGAACTGAAAGAGAACAGGAAGTACCAGTTCCAGGTGCGAGCTGCTAACATGGCAGGTGTTGGCATCCCATCGATGCCCAGCAACACCTTCCTGTGTGAGGAGTGGACCATTGCGGTTCCAGGTTGGTTCATCAAGCTGCAACTTTTTGCTTGTTTTTACAAAAAAACATAAACCATACTTTCCAATAAAACATAATCAGTTACATCTTTGTATTTTTGTAATGGAAAGGCACTCAGCTGTTATAGTTTATAAGGATAACTATCTATTGTTATGTTATACCTCAGAGTTCGAATTCAAGAGTCTTTCTTTATCCTGGTTTCTGAACAGTTATTGACTGGATCTGATTTTACATTCTCCTCCTACATGGAGCAATGAAGAATTTGAAAACAAGATGAAGACGGTTTTTTTTCCTGTGTGAACACAGTAGTGTTAATAAACTCCTGAAAAGGCTTCACAGGCTCCATAAAAATGTAATAAATAAATAAAAACAGCCCAACACACTTGCGCTTCTATTTTTCCAATCTTGCCTGTGATTTTCTGCAGGACCCCCTCATGATCTGCAGGTTAGAGAAGTACGAAGTGACTCCGCTGTGTTGCTATGGAAACCCCCTGTGTACCAGGGCCGCAATCCGGTCAATGGTTTCTACATTGATATCAAGGAAGCAGATGCACCAGAGGAAGCCTGGAGGGGAGTCAACACCAAGGCTTCAGAGAAAACATACATCAAGGTCATCGTCAGGAGTCAGTTTCTCTGAAAACTTTATCTTCACACCTGGCTGCAACTGCTGTTTCATCACTGCTTCTTTTTTATGTATAGATTAAGGATCTTAAGGAAGGTGAAAAGTATGTGTTCAGAGTGCGTGCTCAGAACAAAGCCGGTGTTGGAAAAACTTCAGATGTTACAGAGCCAGTCCCTGCTGTGACCAAACCAGGTAGAATGTAATAAATGGTCTTAAGACATGATGCATTTGGATGATGTGATATTATTATAAGGGTCACCTTTGTTTGTTTTCAGGCACCAAGGAGATAGTAGTTGATGTCGATGATGATGGTATCATCTCTCTGAACTTTGAATGCAGTGACTTGACCCCTGACTCCAAATTTGTGTGGGCCAAGAACTATGAGGAAATCACAGACACCAACCGCCTGACCACAGAGACCAAAGGAAACAAGTGAGATGATCAAGTTTTATTACCTTCAGACTAACAGTGTGCTTTTTTCTACATATACTGTACAATATATACTGTACTAAGAAATTAGAGGTGGTAGCATCTTACTACAGTATATTACATAGTCACTGTGATAAAAGCAAACATTTTATTTACACATTTTTATCTGTATGTGATGCATTCAAAGATTAGCTATATTATAATATCTACTTATAAAAGTGTCAGAGTTTTTCTTTGAATGGCAATTCAGAAATTAGCCAGGACCAGGCCAAAATCTGGCATATCTGTGATAGTTTTGTCCAATTTTCTTGTTTTATTTTAAAACCATCGTCACCGATATTATAACTGATATCACTGAGCGTTTCCAGCTGAGACTGTTTTGAGTCCAATCTTTGCATTTGCTCTAATATCATATGTTCTGTGTAGGTCCAAAGCTGTTTTTAACTCTCTTGGGGAGGAGGACATTGGTGTTTACTCATGTCTCGTCACTCACACTGATGGTGCTTCATCCAGCTATACCCTCTCTGAGGAAGGTGGGTATAAAATATCTATCTATCTATCTATCTATCTATCTATCTATCTATCTATCTAT